AATTAGGGACGGCGAGAGCAGATAGCCCTCGTGTAGCTTTGCGCGATATTAAAAAACAAAACAAACTGTCTTTGTAAGATATTCTCAGCATTTTTCTGAACATCCACATTTCAAATGCATCGATCTTTCCCTCCATATCTTTGTTGATTGTCCACGTTTCACCAGCACATATAAAAGTAGACAGTACATAGCATCTAGCTAGTTTCTCTGCGTTTCGACGTTAATGGTTTTTGCTGCCAAGACATCTTTCATTTAGCAAAAGATATTTCTATTTGTCTTCTTATCTCTGTGCCACATTTACCATCCTCCATAATGATTTGACCTAGATACGTGAACCTCATCATCTGTTCCAGATAGAACCCATCAACTATAATGTTTATCCTTTCCATGTCTTGATGTGCCCTGCTTACTATCGTCGTCTTCGTCTTTTCGGTGTTCATTCCGAGTCCAAATTCTGCGCTTCTTATCTTAACCTCATCTACAATCTGTTGTAGTCCTTCTGCTCTTTCTGCTATCAAAGCAGTGTCGTCTGCATGTCTGAAATTTGTAGCATTCACTCCCCCAATGCTTTCTCCAGATAACTTATCAATGTCTTTGAAGATGTCCCCTGTATACAGGTTAAAATGTCCTCTGGTTAAAAAGTATTGGTGAGATTAGACACCCCTGTCTTACTTCTCTTTTTATAGGAAATTATTTTGATTCATTATTATCCAATTTGATTGATGCTGTCTGCTGCCACTATAGATTTCGAATAAGCCTCTTGTCCTTGTCATCTATACTGGTGTTATCAATAACTTTCATTAGCTTCTGGTGGTATACTCTGTTAAATGCCTTTTCATAATCAATAAAACAGATGTAGACTTTCTTATTTATACATAAATATCTGTCAAGGATTGTCTTGATATTAAATAATTCTTCCCTTGTGCTTTTGCCTGGTCTAAGTCCTGGCTGTGTTTTACCAGTGTTGTCCTCTATGACTTTGTCGTTTCGTCTCATGATGATTTTACGATTTTAATGAAGTGGCTCATAAGACTGATAGTCCTATGCCCAGAACACTCCTTGGTTTTTGGTTTCTGCGGGATTTTAATAAAGAGAGAGTGCCTCAGATTATACGGTATGTATCCACTGTTATAAATACGATTGAACAGATTTGTAACAATCTTAATACCATCTTCATCAAGGGCTTTTAGATACTCAGCAACAATCTTATCCTTTCTTGGTGCTTTCCCATTCTTTAGACTCATGATTGCCCACCTAACCTCTGACTCTAATATATACGAACCAGTGTTATTATACAGCTCATATTGTAATGGTCTGTTGTCATACAATTCAGACATGTACTCCTTCCAAAGATTAGCAACTTTCTTCCTTTCAAACAAGATGGTGCCATCGTAATTGCCTGTAATAGGTTCAGAAAAAAAAAGAATGAAAAAATTCCTAATGAATAGAACAACAGGGCGATATTTCATTTTAAAAAAGCTGAGAGGGCTGCACAAATGTGACAGACATTTGCCTAATACAGGTAGCAAGAAGTCTTCACATTTATATTAATGAATATCGATAGAATAACGTAAAAGCAATTAGAATGGCTTTTGAATAAGGATAAGACGCAGTTATCAGAGCTTACCTTATAAAAAAAAAATGTCCAAAATAATTAAGAATCTATAATCGAACCCTAAATCTGCAACGGAATTTTAAGTAAGCTTATGAATCTTTCTGTATAGGGAAATGGTAATTTACTGCTACTGATAGTTTTGATTTTAAGTGTAATATAAGGTAGTATAGGAAACCTTCTGTATTGGAAATGTTGCTGTTGTTAATTATGTTTTTAAGTTCTCAGAAAAGGACAAAGCTTTATACTAAAATTGTTCTTCGACTAAATTAACTGCAGAGCTAAAAGTAGAGTGAATTTTAAGAATTCCATTTATTCATCTATAACATATCGCTAGTTACAACCAGTGGAGTGTGAGTGTCCTTAAATTCAGTGTGGTCAGAGTTAGGACGCAACTAAACCAACTTGTCTGAAAGAGCCACGTTTGACAAGAAAGGTATTTAATAACGAGTATGTCTCATCTTTGTTCCAGCATTGATATAGTCCCAATATTTTCAGTGCATATTTCTTGTATAGTTGATAGACAACGTTGTGAAGGACTTTGTCCCATTCCTCCGTCAGTGCAACGTTATATTTTGAGTTAAATCATTGATGTTCACGGAGACTAAGGGATTCCAGTACGTATTGTTTAGCATTAGAATCAAGATTTTTGTTTACTAAACCAAAGCCTCAATGGTTTCTTGTTTAACATAATCCTATTCCTTATCTTACGTTAAGACAAACAAACGTTAGTCTGATTGTGTCCACGAAATATTGTAAAACCTAATCCATTATCACGAGCAGTAAACCTACGCCTAGGAAGCTCGGTAAGATCTGTATGTCTATTTATATTCTATACTTCCACAATCTCTAACTGAACAACTGTAAAAAAAATGATTATATTCATGAATGTGCTAGGAACAGATCTTTTACCTCTAACTCTTCAGACAGGAGCCTATAAATCAAAGCCTGTGAAGAATACGGACATCCTATGGCATACCTTCAAATATTAATGTTCCAGACATAAGATCAGACGAGACGTGCAATCAACTGTATAGTTAAAGAAAATATTTTCAACCTTATTCTCCTGAATTCCTATGAACTAGCGATTTCGAAAGATCCTGTTATGCAAATATATAGTTTACCTTTCATGACCTTGTCCGTATTATCTAGTCTATAAACCACTTGCCTGATTCTGTGTTATCAGTTTTGCCACTAATAACTTGTATATACCCAAGTGAGCTGCAAACGGTCTTTGTGTTTCCAACATTTAAACAGTTTTGAAAGTGTGTATTGTCATACAAAAAAACAGCACTGTTCATCATCAGCAAGTAAGACTGTCACTCAGTTATATGGAGTCAGCAACGAAATTTGAAAAATTCCCAAGGCACGGAATCAGCGAACGATAAAATCTGGAGGTAGAATGAGGGAGGGTGCTGTCTTCCTAATGTAGGTGAAGTGTACAAAATGTGCCAAAACAGTCATGCATTCTTACAACAGGACGTCACCTAGTGGCACAACGGTAAGCCTTAAGGCTTATAACGCTAAAACCGGGTTTCGATACACGTGGTGGGCTACAGCACAGATAGCTCATTCTGTACTTTGTGCTTAACTACAAACAAACACAAAAGGACATCTGAAACATAAATAATGAGTTCTCGGTCCTTTTGAAGTCACACTGAGATGTAATTTTGAAAACTGTATTAACCATATATCTGTCTCTATCTCTTATTGAATATGTATTGAATACCAGGTATTTTTCCTATTACTACATCCAAATTCCTAACTAATTATCAATCGAAAGATTTAAATTATATATTTTTACGTTCATGGTAAACAATTTTTTGTTGCGTTTAATACCAATAAAATAAAGTTTTTAATTTATCCAACAGGTGACGCCATTAAATGCTGGGAATGTAATTCCCTCTACGACCCAAACTGTGCGGATCCATTTGACAATTATACAGTGGCTGCAACTGACTGTGCCGATCGATTTCTGCCACATTATCCTAACGTTTCTGCTACATTATGCAGAAAGATTATCCAGAAGGGTAAATTCCTACCTTTGTTATACATGTTAAGGATACGAAGTTGTTTATATAAATATAGGTCTTTTTTTTCGAATATAAAACATCAAAATGTGTCAAAAATTGATTTTCTTTCTTTAAACTATACAGCTGACGTATTTTAACCTCTTAAATTTTTACTTGGCGAAATATTAATTGAGCATCTTAAGTAATATTATTGAAAGCTTTGTTTTCAATGTCTTAATTTAGATGTTTTCTAGAGAGGATAGGATGTTATGATCAGGAAAATTCATGTAGTGATTAGAAGGTATTAATGGTATAAATACGTAATATTGCATTAAGCAGTGCGTTCATGAGTAATGAATATCCAGTGAGTTAATGAGTTCAGTGTCAGAAAAGTTATTCAATGTTAAGTGAGATTTATCGCGTCTATTCATTTACTCGATCGATTAGCGAGGAAAGTCAAAGTAATTATATTTGTGAGTTAGGCATCTTAGAACTACAAGTGTAAGTGAAATAAACCTTTAACAAACATTATCGGAGAAATAAACCCATTCGTTAACGTTAGGAGGACTGGACTTGGCATTATTTTTATTAAATAATCCAGAAGTACCAGCCTAAAAACAGAGCACGTTACAACAAGCTGGAAATATGTATCTTTAATAAATACTACTTATTATCCCAAACCGGTAACTAATAGTAGGATTTGGTAAGAAATTTTATGCTTCTTAAAAATCACAAATTAATTATTTGTTTTAACTAAATGAGAGCAACTTCTTTGTGTTGACAATCTGAATTATAAGAAATAAGATTAATGTACACTGACAAATTTCCTTACTTGAAGATTGATTTAAATGTTTCACTGGTTAATCTAATACGTGCTCCGAATTTGTTATATTTTGAGATACGTATCATTCCTGTCACCCGTTAGGTCAACAGTAAGTTAATGAACATACAATACTAAAATTGAGGGTTCGATTCCCAATAGCGAACAGAGTGCAGATAGCCCATTATGTGGTTTTGAGCTTTCTAATAACGATATGATGGTAATTGGTTGCTGACCCTGTATTAGGTGAAATATTTATAGAGAATTTGTTTGTTTGTAGGTAAGCACAAAGTGCTGTCTGTGCGACATTAATTTCTTGACGACCTAATACTTTAAGTCATGCAGATTTAAATACTTTGAAAACATACTATTTTCTAAGCATTTTATTAAAACATTTTCAGCACAAGGTGCATTAATAATGCATGGAAATACAGGTAATGAAAATCTTGCTAAAGGTAGAAAGTAACACCAAGTCACAACAAGGTAGTGCTAAACTTGTAACTGAAAGTAAGTCCCTAAGAAAGACAATGTGACTATTATTGGATTCTAATGTTAAGAAAGTAAGGTTTAGCATCACCTAACCGGAGTCATCTCATCTGTGTAGGATACCCCTTTTGCAGTCATGACTCATTTCCTCTCCTATTGGACCCGTGCTTTATCCATGTGGTAACCAGATGGTAACAAAAGGAATTTTACTATATTGTAAGGTATGTCATGTTGACTGTTGGTCAACAGGGATAAAAAGGGCATCATGGCTACAGATATTCTCAAGAAGAGGGCGCCACAGGTCGAAAACATTTAATAGGCGTGTCTTACTCGAAGATTTACCTGAGTTATGTATACAGAATGCAATATATCTTTAAACTTGTCAGTGATATTAAAAGGTCTGGACTTAGGCAACATATAGTTCTTTGTACTTGAAGTCATAGATAACATACTTCATAAATTATAACTTGGTAAAGTTACGTGTAAAAGATTTTAAACATCTCTACTTTTAAATAGCTTGTAATCGTATATTTGTCTGCCCATAACGAAAATTTTCCAATTCCCCGACTTTTGATCACCACAGACTCTCAGGGTTTCTAAAATCCAATATTTTATTGGTTTTATCATTTTGATAAGTTTGAAAACCAATTTTCTCTCCTGCTACTTCCTTATTGCATATTTTTATAAACCATTCATTTATTTTTGAGGGAAGGGCGAAAACATTTCAAAATAAAATATAATACTTGGAGAATTCTATTCATTTAAAATTTCTGTACAACTTGCAAAACCAATGAAATAAATGCTGCAAGCGGCACGTACACGTTTGCTAATACTGATAACAATAAAAGCCAAACATGTTCTTAGAAAAAATAGCTTAGGATCCTAGATGTCACAACAGGTTAAAATATTTCAATTCTTTTTAACGAATTTCGTTACAGCTATTTACTTTTACTTGTTTGTTGTTAAACACAAAGCTGCACAACTGGCTACCTGTACTCTTCTCATCACTAGTAAGCATGTAAACTGGAATTTTCGCTGAGTCATGGAACACTTTGTTGTTATTTCTCAGGCTATCTACACTCTCTTCACAGTGAGGAACTGAACCACTATGTTGTGCATCGTAAATCCGCAAACTAATTGTCTGACGCACTGGGAAACATTTACTTTTGAAATCAAAGAGTAGTTTAAATCAATAAAAATTTGATTTTGACTGTAAAATGAGGCAATATGAGCACAAATAAACATGAGTAGAACATGATCAGGTCTACTTTTACAAAGCTTGATATCTTTAAAAACTGTCATGTTAAAGTATCGTATTTAGTCTATCAGAAGGTGTCAAAAATTGCCAAAAGCTGAAACAGTCTATATAACATTTTACAATTGGTAACCTTCGTTTAGAAATTTAGGACATTATTGTACATATAACCATTGAGAAAGTTTGTTCTTAAAAATATAAAATGTAGTTGCTAGTCTCTATTGGATTTAACCGTCTATTCAACTCCTATAGTCAGAATCAGTTTGGTTAATTAGTTACTTTTGCATAAACAAACAAACTGAATCTGACTAGAGGAGTTTTTTTTTAAATAAACATTTTGCAAGATACATGAGTAAACTTTGGTTGTTTTGTAATGGTTTTATCATTGGATGGGTCCTTTTTGATTATTCGGTAAAAATAATGCAAAGTCGAATTCACTTTAAAATAGCAAAAGTGATTTTTTTATTTAATTGTAATGCACAAGTTCTATATCCCCCTAGTGGCTCAGCGGTAAGTATAAAGACTTATAACTCTAAAAACTTTAAAGTAGCGTCAGTACAAGAAACCTGGAAATACTAGATTTATTAGTACCAGTGATTGTGTTTGATAACCCTACAATTTTTTCTTCTTTCAGTCAACAACGAATATCGTTATATTCGGAGCTGCGGATGGGTACATGGAGAAGAGAGGTTTGAGGGTAGCTGCTACAAGAGGGCTGGAACCTTTCATGTCATGATCGACTATTGTAACTGTGCAAACGATCGATGTAACAACGCTATTTACAACACTCCCAGTTGGATCCCTCTAGTTGTTCTTATTGTTCTTGTATTTGTGTTAGAGCCTACCGGGCAAGTAATCAATTAACTTTTGAAGTGAATATATATACATATATAAGTTAACACCTTGAAAGTTCCTAGGTTGGTTAACACACTATTCACTCAAAACGATGAACTCAAGATCAGTTTATAGAATACGTAGAATTTATTTTTATTACGTTAAACATTTTCAGAATAGCAGCAGATGGCAATGGCGTTTACTAAAAATGTTACGTTTAAAATTAATGACGACTTAGTATATGTAGAACTGTTTTCCCAGTGAGAAGAAAAACCACACACAGAGACACATAAGTTTAAGCAAACGTGTAATAACAGTAGTATGTTGATATTATATAAATAGTGGCTTTTATCGGTCCACTGATGACCAACAGGTAAGTTCAAAAGTATCTACAAAACGCAGATTCAGAAAATAGATCGAATACGGATGAATACATGTAAGTGAACAAATAAATAAAATATTTAGTCACTGTGAAAAACGTGTATTGTCAAATGTTTCACTTATTGGCTTACCTACAGTTATTCTCTATTGTGGCCTTAACTGGGTTGAAAGGAGGTATTTCTAAAACGTGTCCATACAGGACAAAAATAATTCTAATTTACATCCGAAATTCAGGCAAAATGTTAAAGTGCGGTATTCCAAAGTTCATTGGTACAAACATCACCCACTATTCTAAGTAATATTTAGCCCCCCAGTGGCACAGCGGTATGTCTGCGGACTTACAACGCTAGAATCCGGGTTTCGATACCCGTGGTGGGCATATAGCCCATTATGTAGGTTTGTTTGTTAATTACAAACAAAGTAATATTTATAGATAAAAAAAAATAATTCATATTGATTTATACAAGTATCTGAGTCATCCTCTGAGACGGGCTCTCTCGTCCCCAGGGGGCTGAGACGCAGGGCTATGGTGAATTTACAGTCTTTGTTGTATATAACTTTAACCGAGTAAAATGATTAATACATGTTTGTTTGCAGTTAAGCACAAAGCTACACAAAGGACCTATCTGTGCTCTGCCCACCACGGGTATCGAAACTCAGTTTCTAGTGTTGTAAGTCCGCATACATACCGCTGTTCCACCGTGTTTACGACCTTTCCACATTGGCTTAGCAAGAATTCTATACTACATGCAGAACACCTGCGCGAAAATTTAGAAAAAAAACCCTGTATATATAAAGTTATGGAAGGATGAAATGCATGACTATTTCAGTCATTACAACGGCACAAGTTATACACTCTTCTATTAATAAGACTATTTTAAAGTCACATTAGCAAAATTGGAATTTTGGACACACCTTGATTTAAATACCAAACCACAATTCTCTCTCCCAGTTAGATTTTGTTTTGTATTTTTGTAAAATATTAAAGTCTAAGGCAAGTTTTACCAAACTCAATTTCCTACCAATCTTCACGCTCTACTTCTTCCACCGATATAATGTTTATAACACCAAATACCAAAATATTGACAGTTTCTTGAAACAACGATTTTGTCTGTGATTCGGATGAAAGTGCCTCTTTGAGTGATGATGTCTGTGAAGCACAGTAATAAGTTTTTGTATTTTATATTTTTCAGTTTTGATTTTTGCCTTTAATGGTTGCCATTCTTGAGAACTCTAATTCACATAAATAAGATGTAGCGAATTCGTGGTACTAGTTCATTGCGCAATGTTGCAATAACTTGTGCGAAGATGGTCAGACACTATCGTAATAACTTTTTTTTTGTATCATGTGATATTTACACATGGACAAGTCAAGTTGAGTGCCCTAACCATCAAGCCATGCCAGGCCTTAATGAAAAGCAATCGCTTACAAATGAAAGGTTGTTTGGTTTAGAACAAAGCCACATTGGGTGATTTACTGTGTCCACCGCGAGGAATCGAACCTCGGAATTTAACGTTGTAAGTTCGTAGACGTGCCGCTTCCCCACCGGGGGACCAAAGGAAGGAAAATAACAACTTTTATAGAGTAATACGTCGGGTATACACAACTGGAAACATCAAATAAAATCTTTTTATTTTTATCATATGCTGTAATTGAAATTAGAGCTCTGTAATGTTCTTTTTCTTATCTATATACTAGCAAAGTACCCGACAATGCTCGGATAAAAATGGCTTTAAAGTTTTTAAATCGTTTTATCACATAACTGATCATGTATAGAATAATTAGGAGAAGTCCTCACACAGAGAAAAAAACGCAAATAATAGCCCTCTTAATCACACATTACCAAACAAAAATTCGGCCTTTTTCAACTTGAGACCAGTCAGTCGTTATGTTTGCAAAAAATTGCTATATTGGTCATTTTGGCCTCAGTTTGAGGCCTTGAAATGTCTTCTGAGGCCGCGGCCACATAGCCCATGTTACATCCTGCACTAAGTTGTATCTGTACCCAGAATTTAGAGTTTATAGTTTTAATTAACCAGTCGCACCACTATACAGTCATGTGTTATCTGTCATTCAGTCGGTAGACACTAAAATGACGTCAAATAAGAGACGCATAGTGTTGCAATTTGTACTGATGTGACGTTGGTAAAACGTGCGTATGCCATGAATCACGAGAAGAATCATGCACTCTGTAGGCTACAACACAGCATGACATATGAACTTCAAAAGCAAGAAATAAAAATATGTGTTACTCTTAATTTTGGTTTTATTTACTCTTGAAACAGAACACTTTCAGGGACCCTGTCCAAGTACGTCTAGTTAACAAACTTATTAAAGTGCAGACAACAACACTTCAATAGAAAGAAACAAGCTACTTCTAATCGATGACACGTTACATCGTGTAAATCGAAATCTTTTATTAACTTTTGAATTATTTTGAAAAGCCTATAGTGAAGTGGAAAGTGTTGAAAGTCCAAACTGATCAAATTATACGTATTTGTTTTATAGCAGTTATGAAGAATAAGATTAAATAAAGAATCGCTTGAGAAATTTAATTTGATTCTAGTTAGTGCATCAGAACAAAAGGTACGCCCTATTTTTTTTATTTGTGAAGGAAATGTGACAAAAGTTAGTAATACGAAATGTGGTACGTCAATACTTAAAGCGGCCCGGCATGGCCAGGTGGTTAGGGCGCTCGACTCGTAATCTGAGGGGCGCGGGTTCGAATCCCCCCATCACACCAAACATGCTC